TATATCTACGAGTATCATTGCTTTTTTTAGATAAAATTTGTAGTTGAATCTATATATTTTGTGTGTCATATCTTCAATTTAATTACATTGCACAACTGAGTTTGTTAATAGGGACAATTGATTTATATAAAGATTTGTCCTGACTGACTCATAGAGTTGCTATTCAAATAGCTTAAAACGATTAAAAACTTCAACGAAAAAACAAATTACTTGAAATTTACATGGCAATAGAAGTTAAAGTGTTCTATGTTATGTTAGAGAAAAGCTAGCTGAATAAGTTAATCTTTGTTTATTAAAGCAATCTTGAAGTATCGGTATACAAATATGCCCTCGATCTCATAGACATCAACATAAGAGATCGCATATTACGCGTACAATTCTGGTTTATTGTGTTGCATTATTCATACTGAGCAAAAGTTAGCTAAAATGCTTATTTTGTACAGGGTTGGCATATTCAGATATGTTAGTATTTAAATACGTCACTTCAATAATTAACATATAAAAACTTTGGCCAATATTATGAGGAAAAACCGTTCTTTTTCATAGATATCTACTATGTTGTAAGATAATACAGAATATTGTAACAGATTAGGCTACGGAAATAAAGTATAATACTCGTACACTAGTGTAATGAAAAAACAACTCGAAAACAAACTACACATTTTGATAATGCGATACCATAAGTGTATCTTTCTATTATGAGGTAATTCTAATTGATTGAGTTAATAATTGTTATGATCATAAATTTCAATAGCAAAAACATACTAGGTATCTAATAGCAAGCGAAAAAAAAATGTGTAATACTATAAGAATAGAATCTAGGTGTCTCTAACAACCCATATTTCTATGATAGCATTTATATGGTAAACAGCAAATTAAATACACTATCGGGACTTTTAGCGCGATGAAAAATTATTGCAGGTAAATAATACCTACATACCTGCTTTATTATTGCCGACGTGTTAAATATGTGTAAGCAATGCAAAAGTTTAAAATTAACTATAACAATAAATTTGTTGACAATCTGGTAATTCAATCATGACAATTTTATGAAAATTATTGTTTACATAAGTCTATTGAAACATCTAATTTGAATAAATTAATACGCACGTGGATATGCAACATTCCTTTATAAACTAACTGTAAATTCTTCGTTGCTAGAATGGCAGTATCCCCTCAAAGTTCAAGGATCTCCATTCATTCAGTGACGTCATAATTTAAAGTCGCCGTACAACAGGATGGAGGCATATCGTTGCCGGGAACCAGTTCCTGTGTAACTGTAAGTAGGCACCGTTACGATCGCTGTGGGGAGCCAATAACACGAGGTTGTCATGGCAACGGTGCGTGCGCCGAGGGTAACTTCCCCCAGAGGCAGCACTGAGGGCTTACAGGAACCAGTTAATAAGACACCTTTAGCCTTATGAGCGTCTTATTCGTCCAACCAACCCACTTGGTTTTCGAGGGTCTCACAAGAATAGTCTTATATATTTAGTACTTTTTGGTACATACCCTTGTAAAGCTTCGATATTCACTACCGCGACATGTCATCAGTAGATTACATTTGAGTCTGACTAATCCTGACATTGTTTTTTGATGTTTATTGGCGAGTATCAATGGATATATCTAATTCGTGTCATAAATGTGAAAATGAGTTTATTTTTTGCATGTTTGTTTATTTACAATTTATTAATTAATTTTTTGTTTATTAGCTTTTAACGTTTGAACGATTAAATCAGTAACGTGAAAATTTGTTTGACATAGCTACTACCTGTATTTTGCATAGATAAGGACATACGTTACTTTTTATTTTAGTTAATCGATATATCCCAGTCACGAGACGGGTGCAACTAGTCTAAATCAAAAGTAATTTTACAAAAAGGAAATATTTTTTATTTGTAATGGTTAAATTCAAAAAATATTTTACTGATTTTAATTTTATTAATTTATTGAAAGCTACATTGTCAACGAATAAAATGGGATATATTTAATTTATTTTCAATAAATTTGTGATCTTCTATCTCACGAAAATAGTGATCAGTCTAGCCGGAGTTGTTTGCCAGTATTATAGTTCATATGATTGTGGGTATGTTTGTTACAATAATGTTAAATAAGTAATATGCTGGCCTAATTTTGTTTATATTGCGTAGTACAGTTACTATCTCGGGTCAACGTGTAATACTTTCATATCATCAAATGGATAGATGATTGCCTATATGACACTTCATAAAGAAAAAGACGTTTATTATAACTGTACTCGTATGTAACAATATTAGTAGGTATGTTTTTTTTTGTGCAATTTAGAATGGCAAACAAGCTGACGGCCCACCTGATGGAAAGTATGTATGTAGAGGTAGTTATAAATTACTTATTTGCACAGAATATTAACCGGTAAACGGGTGTTAATTTTTAATTAAAAATAATGAAAAGATCTCGTTTTATACAAATATGCCTATATATAAATAGGTATATATCTATTGACATGATTTGTAGATCTTAGGCAAATAAGTTGGAGATTGAATCACTAAATTTCAATCTGTTACATCTTGAGGTTATTATTGGGGATCTGTTATCCTTTCATATACATATATATACTTTGTAAAGTTTATAAAGATGGTACTTAATCTCCAAAAAACATTAAATATCCTATAACATATGGATACGCGGAGAAATATACATGATGAAATTGAACAGGTTCTACAGGTTCATCATGTATTATAGAAGTTAGCATATTGTTTTTATTTGATTTCACTGTTTATTACTGAACCACAAAAATTAGGCATGATTGATCGATCAATTGATTGTAATCTTCCTTTTTACCTTAGCAGAGGGAAAAGCCTTTGATTCTCGCTTCTCGTGTTGAATGCTATGACTTATTGATCAGTATCAATAATGGACATTGTGTTACACAATAAGCGCATTCACCCATGAATTTGGGAGGAATACTCCCCTATTGATTGGTAAAAGGTTATTTTATTCATTGTTATTTTATTTGACGTAAGTAGATACCTACAGTTAATATTGGCGCTCCTTGGTGACAACTAGTACAAGTTACATCTTAGGATTTTTTTGTTACCTATTATGTTAAAATTTATCTAAATATGGTCGCAATCAGTTATATCAAAATAAAATATTTACAAAATTTTAATAGAAAATATTATTATTATAATTTGTAATGCACAAATAAACATAAAATGACATGTTCTCTTAGTGAATTAAATTTATTTAGGTTGTACATTAACATTTATTGTGCCTTTTTTTATAAGGCGAATAAGTAATTTTTATGAATTACTTTTACAACAAAATTTGCAACAAAGCGAAGTTTAAACAAGATGGATAACATTTTAATTACGTAGCGATGACGGTTCAGGTTGTGCTTTTGTCAGTTTTGCCAAGTTAATCAACGTCTAATAACAACAGATATAATAAATGTAGATATATCTACTGTTTTAACATAATATTGCTTTAAGGAATTCTATACCTACTAACATAATGTTGTTATTTTTATTGAGTAATGAGCTTTGTCAGGCAGAAGAACCTGTAACACTGCAACTTCTGTGATTTATTTGTGTTCGCCTTTTTTATGAATGAAGTTTGCTGTTAATTCTTATCAGTGATAAGAATTTAAGTTATTTGTAGTAGCGGTGGTTTTTTATTTCTTCTTTGTTCTATTAAATTTGTTCTATTAAAGTATATTTTCTAAAGAAGATATATTAATATAATGGTAATTTATACCCAAAATAATAAATATTTAACAGTAAATATTTTTATTTTATTTATTTTTATTTTATTTATCTAATACTTTATTATACATACTAATTATACATAAAAATATGACAGAGGTAATTAAATGTACAAAGTTTAAGGCTTTATTTTAAAAAAAGTTCTCTTCCAGCAAACCCAAAGTGGAAAGGAGCGTCAATGCCAGCGGGTAGAGCAGTGTATAAATATTGTAATATTTTTTTTTAATTTTCAAACAAAAGAACTAGACAAGCTTATACATAATTGTATTTATATCAATTAATATTTTTATAATATTGTTTTGCCTGTCTGAAATTGGAATACGGGTCACTGTAAAGATATTTTTCAACCGTTTTGAAAAAGAAGGAATTTCTCGATTCGGTAGTTTTTTATATTTATTTATTTGTTACCTTATAACTCCGCCAGTCGTAAACCGATTTGGATTTTTTATCTTAACTGAGAGAGACACAGAGAAAACCGACTTCAAGTATTGTCATAATTGAAGTCGACTTTCTTTGTGGATTACAATCTTAATTTTTATACTTTACAAAATATTAATCGATTCTTTAGTCATTAATTGTTATTATTTTTGAACTACGGAGTCATCGAAGATTCCAAAATTTATTTATTTTTATTATTAGGAATAAAGAGAGAGGCAAACAAGCAGACTACCCACCTGATAAAAAGCGGCTTCCTGTTTTTATTTCCAGTATTTCATTTAAACTTTATTTAAAAAAAAATTCTGACTCTGTCTGTTAATAAATAGTAACACTAGTTTTAAGTAATAGATTTTCTTTAATTAATATACTGTATGTACAAAGTGATTTCGAAGGGGAAAAGTTTGCAATACATCGTTATGTAATTAAGTCAATAATTCTGCACAATTATCTTTATAATTGACAGGGTTTACTTTCCCATTTAATTACAATGACCATTAAAAACGTCTCTTTATTTTCCTATTAGTATATAACTGATTGACAAAGCTTATTTCACATTAACAGAATTTATACAACATATTACACGTATACAAGACTACAAAATGGTGTGATAACATCCCGATATTTCCCAGAGGCTTACTCTGACCATTCGTTCAGTAACAAATAGGTTGTGTCTCCAGTTATATTTGTTATGTACTTATATTTCTTTTCGATCTTTTGGTTTTACGAAATCTGTTATGTTTATATTATCTTATAATTTTACAATGAAATAAATTATACTTAATAAGAATAAAGTTTGGTCAGACACATCTAAGATACAATTTAGTACAAAAATTTTGTTTCATTTTGAGCAAATTTTGACGTATAATACTTACATACTTGTTTTGCTAACCGCCGTCTTTCGTTGATCTCATTTTTTTTTACACTAGACACACCTGCAATACCCTCGATGTTGCGTGTTCGTTTGCCATTTGTACATGTATTGTATAAAAATCTCAAAATATCCTTATTTATTAAATAGACGTTGTGGAGGATCCGAATATACATAATAACATTCATATACTTAAAACATTTCTCTCTTTGGTAGTCACGGAAGGTAAAATAGAAGGATATTAAAGTCACATAATACTGATACAAGATATTGAAATGAGGTAATCAAATTTTCATTTGTCATATTTTAATGGTATTTATTTAGGGACATTACATGTTGTCATATTTACTAACAATTATACCTTTAACATATAAATACCCAAATCTGTGTAGTAAGCGACAACTGTAACGAAAGTTTAGAATGAAAATAGAGCTATGATTTTTATTATATTACTTTTTACAATTAATGTAACAATAATACATTCTACATCAATAATGTACTTTCAAGGAGAAACAGATTACGAAGAATTGAAAACATGTATAGTAAAAATAATTGTAACACAACTAAAAAAAGGCACTGAATTAACTGTGATAAGTAATGCTGAAGATTTGTTATCTGATATCCATAATTCCACTCATGTAAAGTTAAGTTTTCGTAGTCCAGATATTCATGGTAAAAACTATTCTTACATAGAAGTATATTTAATCTCAGCTAACGATGCTAATGATTTGGATTATACAATAAATACACTAAAGCTGGAATGGAGTTGGAACCCTAAAGCTAAGTTCATAATAACATTGAGGTGCCAAGCAGATATGGAAGAATTGAGAGCTGTTTTTAAATTGTTGCTAATTTCTAACATATTAAATATTTTGCTTGTTACTAGAGTTGAAAGTAAATATTTTGTTTATACATACTTTCCTTATGGAGAAGGCAATTGTGGACGTAATTATGAAAATATTACAAAATGTTGTGAGTGTAATGAACTCAGAAGTGATTTTAATATTTTTCCTGACGATACCTCAAGAACATTGAAGAATTGTACATTGCGCGTACTTACACATCATGATCCTCCATTTGCAATAATTTCAGAGACGGAAAAAAGAACAGTTATTGGTTATGAGCAACGAGTTATGGATTTATTAGCAGAAAGCGAGAAGTTCCGCATATCGTATACCTATGATCATAGACTTGATAGATTTGGATACGTACTCCCGAATAATTTTTCAGCAACCCAACTTTTAGAATCAATACAGAGTAAAGAAGTTGACGTAGTTATGGGTGGTTTTGTCTTAATTAGAAATCGAATATATTTGTGTGATTTTATTTGGACATATTTTGGATCTAGTGATAATTATTTAAAAGGTTTTTCATCACAGCGAGAATATATTGGCAGATGGAGAATAATTTATGACAGCTTTGATGAAGATACCTTCATATCATTGCTAGTTGTACTATTTACTAATAGGAGAAGAGCTAAATTATGGTGCGAAAGTTGTATTATATGTTTGGGGTTCAATGTTTGGAAATATATCGCCATATTTTCAAAAATTTATTCAAATGAAACGATATTTGTTATTGTGGATTGGGTTTGTATTTTTGATCAATAATTTCTATCAAACATCATTAATTAGTCTAGCAACAAAACCCAGTGTACGTCCTGGAATTGAAAGTGCTGACATATTGTTAAAGTTAGGATACCGTCCTTGTATGTCCAATTCTTCAAGGTTGTTGTTTCGTCATATTAATATACCCATTTTAAATGATGTATTTCAACCACAACCTGAGTGTATGGAATTAGAGAATAGTTTCAAAGCATTAGTAAAGCTACCTAATTTGTACAGTATTAATTTTTACTTAAAATACATGTATTTTGTACAAGGTAAGTATCGCCATCTTATTTATGAATCAAATACAAACTTTCAACGTGTGAGTCATGCCATATTTTTTGCCAAGGGGTTTCCCCGTATTGACAATATGAATTATAAAGTTTTGAGAATGAGTGAACATGGTTTATTTGTCGCAGCCTTTCGTGAGTTAGGTCTTGAGCCGGTAAAGTCTTTTTTCTTAAAACAGAAAGAAAATGAACGTACCTTTTCAAGTCTAAAAATTGAAGATTTTATAATTCCGTATTTTATTATTGTGGTGGGTACAGTATTAGCTTTTATTATGTTTATTGCAGAGAACTGCACATATTTTCTAATATTACGTAAGTATACAAGATAGCTTTACAATTATTGTAGAATGTAGTATGATAAATAAGTACATGATGTATTTTTATGCAATTTTGAATGAAAATTAAGCTTAAAATTGGTGGTCCACCTAATAGAAATTAGTAAGCATTATTTATAGATATGAGATGTCAGAATAAGTACTTTATGACGTCTATCACACTACTCACATGCGTTGTCATTGCTGAGAACTAAAGTTGGAGGCCTTAAAATCCTGTAATTTAACTGACATATTTTACCCTTTAAATTGACATACATTTGTGTAAGGAGAATGTAATTAAAAAAGAGGTGATGGTAATTCAAATCATGAGCGTAATTATTTTTTATAAACACAATGTACAATTTGATACTGAAAAATCCAATGATAAAATACTGAAATATTTTCAGTAATTAGTTATTTTTCTTCACTATTTTTTGTTGTTATATGGAGTATAGATAAGACAATAATATTAGTCTGTACAATTTGGATAAAACTTCTATAAAAATGAAGTAGAAGGAACAAAAAACCATTTTATTTAGGTTGCACGAGCACTATGCAATTATCGAAATTTTGTGTTTTGTTTGCGAGTGATGAAATAATGTTACAAAATAAATGTATTACGACGTGTACATTGTTTGTTTTATTTATCAAATTAAATGCTTAGATTAAATGTAACTATGATAGTTTCAATTCATGATAATGAGTTGATTCTGAAGCTATTTATCCTTTAATTCTATTTTTAGAAATCTGTTCATAAAATTTATTAGAAATTATTGAGACCAATGAAGAAAGGTTCTTGAGTGGCTACTTCGTGCAGGAAAACGCAGTGTAAGATGTGGGGGGGGGGGGGTTCATTCTAGAAGGAGCCACGACCTCAAATGCATTGCAGGGAGTCAGTGCATGCACTTGGCTCAGGACTGTTCCTTATTGCAGTCTATGGGGAGGTCTTTGTTCAAAAGTGGTCAGAAAATGGCTTGAGATGATGATGATGATTAGGGCCAATATAAGTAATTAATTTGATTAAAAATTATTATAATATTAGTTCTTGATTGGTAAATTGTATTTTTTTTGAGAGGCGTATTTAAATTTAAGGAATTATAAAATGCTTCTCTAAATTAGTTCCTAATTTTCCTAAATTTGACCTTCAGAATTGTCTCTATTCTATAGAATCCTACTAATATTATAAATGTCATGTTTGGATGTTTGTTACTAAATCGGCACACACACGGATGAATGGATTTAAATGAAATTCAATACATAAATAGATTGTCTTAAATTAATATATGGGATATATACTGTATTTCGTATACCGTGTATACTGTATACCGTGTGGTCCTGGCATAGAATAGGCTCTTCCTTTCCCGTGGGTGTCGTAAGAGGCGACTAAGAGAGGGCGAGGGATGAGCAGCAGCGTCCTTTATAAAACATCTTTAAAGTCCTGACTGCGGCTGCAAATCCGCCTGCCAAGCGTAGCAACTACTGGCAAAACCCACCAAGGGGAAGGCTTATGTTCAGCAGTGAACAGTTAGGCTGATATAATAATAAAAACTGTATTTCGCTAGCGTGAGCTAGCATTTAAAGTAAATCAGTATCAAATTTTATTCAATTCCCTTTAGTTTTTGCTAGTATTATTATCGTAAATCTATCAGCATCCCAATGCTGGGTACGAGTCTTTTTATACAAGACAAAGATATATTCAACTATTCATTTTTACCTGCAACTATGTACGTGTGGACAGGATAGGTGCACTAACAGTGATAAAAGTTTTCCTATGTCCTCTATCCCAGATACAGAATACCTGTGTACTAAATTATATACTGATTAATTGAGCCGTTAAGGTGCCAAAGGGTAACAAACAAACACAATTTTACATTTATAATACTAGTAAGAATTTATACCTGGCCAAGCGCCTTGGTATAGATTTTTACTTAGAATTTTCTTTTTCTGACACTGGTGTATTATGTATAGTGCTGTAGTTATTTCAAGGGACGTGCTGAGGATGAACAGGAGTGGTGACGTGTTGTATATTAGCTACGTCACCGCGCGAAGGTTTATAGCGGACTACTGAAGCGGACTAGCATATTCCCTGGTAGTTAATATTCGGAAGAACACAAACGTAACAATGCAGTACCATTTATTGCATGTATATACGAGTATAATTTTATATAAAATGGCATGATACATAACTGTATATGTATACCTACATCTAAATATATATAGTTAACTAGCTTATCTCGCATTCTTTGGATGAACGGTATTTAGACTTTTTAAACTATGAAAATACGGTTTGGTAAATCCTACAAAAATGCTACTAATTACATTTGAATGATGTATTGTTTCTTTTTTTGTTGGCAGTGGCGACGCATTGGCGACTACGTTATCAGCTTTATATGGAAAACTGTTGGTTGTGATGGGTGTCGCTTTCCCTATGGCCGAAGTCATATCAACTTATATTCCACCTTCGTTTTATGAGGTACCTACGAGTAATGCATTTTTTTCTATCTTTTATTTTTATTATGTCCAATAGTAGCTATTAATTTGTATATCAAAAATAACCGGTATCTATATTTGTTTGTAAATTTTATGGTATGGATAGCTATACCATACCATACCATAAAAAAATCTCAAAAATAGTTTCAATATTTTTTGGAGACACGTTTGTAACTTGTATTTCTTTTGAGCGTCAAAGTTTTGATAATAAAAATACTTAATAAGTAGGTATAAATTTTTAATATAAAAAAAAGCACATTGTTATTTAATATGCATAAGAAAATAAACATTCAACATGCTAATTTTATTTCATTATTCTCCATTATATAATCTATACAACAAATGAAGAAATAAAACTGTCAAAAGTAAAATAAAAGAATGAAAGGGCATATAACAGCTCTCTGATTGTACTTAAGAGTTAGTTGGTAGAAAATGTCATGAACTCGCCAATTGAAGACTGACAACGAATAAATAAATATATAATAATTTATATTTCCACAGGGTTTCTACCTTTATCTGTACATCGGCAGCATGGTGTTTTTGTTATACATGTACGCGGCGCTGGTGAGGGACCGGTCTCGGTCCGCTCCCGACACTGCTGTTGTAGCCAGTTAGTACCTACCTGTCATAAATAGAAATAAGTGCCACACAATCGCTTGCTCAATTCTCGCAACGTAAATTGCCACGATATCGTTGTGATTGAATCATTTAAAGCATTCGAGTTCTCATCATTGAATAGTGCTGATTCTTTTATATATATAATCTACATGCAGCCCGTCCCGGCTTCGCACGGATGGACATTTTTACAACATTTTAAAAAGTGGTTATTGTGACATAACGATAATAGTTGGACATAGAGTATCGCAAAGTTTTTTGTAGTTATTGATATTTTCTTCAATATTGTAGAACATACTTTTGTTCTATCAGTAATAGTTTCCGCAGCACACACGAAGAAAGATATTTTATATAATTTTTTACACATTTTACATTACTAAAGTTTTAGTAAGGATCTAATAATCTTAATCAGGGTGAATGTAGCTTTCTTTTGGTGAAAGAATTTTTGAAATCGGCAAAGTAGTTTTTGTATTTATTCATTACAAACATATATATATATATATATATATATATATATATATATATATATTGGCACAATATAGAGATATATTACTGAAATGAAAAAACAATGTACAAAAAGATATTAAAATATTTGTTACTCAATCTCGCTTATGGCTCAATAGATTAACATGAAAATTTTCATTTTCTGGATTCTGTCAAAATCTGACAAAGATTACATATAAAGATCCGTCAGTATTCTACGACTATGACGATATGTTGATCCTATGTTTATCCTCACATGTCCTGAGACGTAGAATACAGCAAGATTTATAATATACCTTCGCTTATTTAACCATTATCATCTTATCAGTAGTTAATCGTCCACTGCTAAACATAGGCCTCCCCCTATTTTGCCAGTAGTTGTTACGCTTAACAGGTATTAACTTTCCTCATTAACTTATTAACTTTCACAACTATTAGTTCGTAGCGTTGAGTTTACTCATGTAACAGCTTAAACTTTTACCTAATTTACTCATTTAGTTTGTGTTGTATATAGTTTTTGTTAATTATATAGCTCAATTAAAGTTTTACCATTACCTTTACAAAACAGGATATATTATTTCTGAAAATAGCATAAGACAATTATATAATGCTGTTACTCTAAATATCCATTAATTGGTTATGAAGAAGGCGGTCAAACTGAAATATCATCCTCATAAACTTTTATGGAAAAGCTGGTAATAAATTGCATCATTATGCGGGGAGAAGGGTCGCAAAGCTTTCGTAAAAACAAATTTCCAACGCCGCGAGCAATTTGTTCATAGCATCCTTTTAAAGTTTCCTACATTTTGACTTCGAAAGAAACTAAGTTAATGGACCCAAAAGGAAGAAGTTTTTGTGTATCCTGTTATCAATAGACAATTCATCATATGAGCCGTTAACTGTTCATTATCGAATATAGGCCTCCTCTTATTGGGGAGTTTTGCCAGTTGCCACGCTCAACAGGTGGATTGGCAATCGCAGTTAGATTTTGGTAATGCTTTGACAGGGATGCTGTTGGCCATCTCTTGATCATTAAATTTAAATACACAATTAATTTAAATATACAATTAATCCACGTTAATGTAAGAAGTGGAATTCTTACTATCTGTGTTAGCCTTTGATTAATTTTAATTAATTGAACTTAAGTAAATAAATTTCTACCTCGTTTGTTAGAACCTATTGTCACAGTGGTGACAGAATAACTATGTACATATATAACATATAAGCCCTTTTTCATTTTCTGCATATCTTAAAATATCTTTGGTACTTGTTTCTCTTTACCTATCGCGCAAGCGTATTGGCGTGAGGATAAGGTACACTGTTAGCAGAATACAGTGTAACTGCACTTTTTATTTAATTTAAATATAAACTATGTGATTTATTCGTCAATTTTGGTTTGATTTTGATTTTTTTTTTTTATATTCGAAACGATTATTGTCGATTTACTTCCATTCTAAGTATAAGTTTTTATGAAAGAATTTTTTTAATTAAGCGCAATATCCTATCTATTTATATTAGTTAAGATTTAGTAAGGTTCGTTTTATTGTAGTAACACATAATAATGTATTCTCTCACATTTTATTGCTATGTTTACACAAACAAAAAACATAAAATCCGATTTGTACTAAGCAGTCGGAAACAAAGCAAAGCTTTGACATGTAACAGAATATCTACTTTCTTTTGTTTTTATCGTATAACACTTTCTTCGCCCTTGTTTTAGTACTGATCTTTTGTATTGGGGTGCTTTTCTTATTTAACAAGGAGATATTTTTTTATTTATGTAAGATTTAAATCGTATATCTTGAAAATATACACATTATTGAAAATATATACATATTTAATGTATACGTGTTTGTTTATTTCAGTGTTAGTTATTTTTTAATATTTCACTTTTAGTTTACAGTGTCTATGTGAAAGCGTATTTTAAAATAAGTTAAAAGTATTTCTTTCTATGTGAAAGTGTGTTTGCTATAAAAAAATCAAATTTAAATTTATAAATAACAAAATACATGCTTTTAGTGGAGTCATACTTATTGTAAAAGTAAATCGAATGTTTATACTATTTTTAGTTATTAGTATATTATTTTTAAAACTTAGGTTCATTTTCAATTATATATATATATATATATATATATATATATATATATATATATATATATATATATATATATATATATATATATATATATATATATATATATTCTGTATTGCACTTGTAAGTTACATATAACATAATAACATATGTTTGAAAGAATTGACAAACATAGTAAATTCACAAAATTCCTATTACATATATATAGATATTTTTAGGTATTTTAGATTTTACATTTTATATTATAATTTCTTTTAATTATATTTACACAGAAACAGATTCAAGTTCATCACCCTCGGAGTCAGATTCGTGTTCGTCCCGTACCGAAAGGAGTACGGCTACGCCGCATGTACCACCGCAGCTCGCAGCCAAGCGGCTCTCGCTTGGGTTCGCGTTAGCTACTCGAACGCATCATTATGGAAGCTTCTACCTTAGGATGGGGGCAGTCGGTGAGTTTCTATTTACAACATGCTCGTAACTTAGACTTCGTTACTTTAAGTTCCATTGATAAAAGTTGTGTATCCTCAATACCTCTGTAAAGATTTATCAAAATTAGAATTGTTGAAAATATTGTGTAAGCTGTTCGGATTCCGATTCTATATTTTAATGAATGAATGAAAGAATTTATATGATATAAGAATGTACGCTTTGTATGGTTGACAAGTGGACTGTAGTTGTTGGTTACTATTGCAATATTAAAAAGACCGTGGTGTGGAGTGAAGACTTTATTCCAAGCGTGTATTGTTACAACGGATTATAAGGCAGAGTGTTGTTATTGTGTTGTCATATACAAAATTACATTGGTAAGAGCCAATATTTGCACTTATTGCCAGATATGGAAACAAAAATGAATGTTAGCTTCTAATCGGTACTATTTCTAATTTGTAGATAGATATATAATATTTGTATCATTTACAGCACATAAATAACATTAGATATTAGTACATGGTTAAAAAAAAAACAAAACTATGGTATGGTCAAATTATGGTAGGTACATTGTGTGGTAGGTGACATCCAAATACTGAAAAGTCATTAACCTTTAACCTTAATATTGATGATAATTCTGTTACTATGAGAGAACAACTAATGAGATATAAAGTATAATTTAATACGACATAATGGGCTTTTTGTCAATATTGTTCTTATACTAGCATTTATCACCTAAAAATTGCTGTAGTGAAGTGTGTTTAAGCATAATTTGTCATTTTTGATATATACTAGTTTTGAAGCCATTAATTTGAACTATTACTTTCTGTACATACCTTATCTATAATTACATCGCATCGCAGCTTACTTGTTGCTTAGGTTAATAAAAATTTAATATACGTATTCTTTCTCTTTCTTGCAGTAATGGTTGCGGTAGGCTACTTGGTAGATAGATATTCCACTGCTAGTTAGGCCAATTGCATAGAATGCAATTAAAGTTTTAATACTACATTTTTAGTCAGTGTAGGCTCTCAGATTGGCCACTTTTTATATCGTCTGTTAAGAGAAGGTCTCCAGTGCGGCTCAATTTGGTCTTATTTTTTATTTTATTTTTCTTTATTTCATTAGGAGTATCTACTCTAATTTCAAGTGATTATAGGAGTATGTAACTTTATTTTATATACACAAATATTGCAAAAATATGAGAAACAAATAAGTGGATAATTAAGCTAATACATAATGTGAATATTAAATCAGTACAATTAAGTAGAATACTTTAATGAGGTAATCTATTTCCCATTTATCATATTATGATTTATTTGATAATATTTGCTTAGAGACATATTTACTAATACTTCAGTTCAATATAAAAACCCTACGTTACGCTACGTAATAGACAAGAAAACTAAAAAAACTATTGATAGAAAACGTTACTATGATCAGCATCGTAATTTTTTTTGCAATGTACGTGACAAATGTACATTCTACATCAATAATGTATTTTCAAGAAAGTGCTAATGTTACAGAACTAAAAACATGTGTGGTTAAAATAATTATAACGCAACTAAGAAAAGGCACCGAATTAACTGTAATAAGTAACGCCGAAGATTTATTGTCTGAAATACACGATTCTTTTCATGTTCTGTTAAATTTTCGTCACTATGAAATACATAGTGAAAACTATTCTTACATAGAAGCTTATTTAATTTCAGCTGATGATGTTGATGATTTAGATATTACAATAAACACACTTAAGTTAGAGTGGAGCTGGAACCCTAAAGCTAAGTTCATAATAACAATAAGATGTCTAACAGATATTGAACAACTGAAGGCTATTTTTAAATTATTGCTTATTTCTCACATATTGAATATTTTACTCGTTACTAGAATTGAAAAAAGATATTTAATTTATACATACTTTCCTTATGGAGAAGGTAATTGCGGTCGTAATCACGAAAATATAACAAAATGTTGTGACTGCAACGAACTCAGGAGTGATATTAATATATTTCCTGACGACAGTACAAGAACTTTGAGTAACTGTACATTGCGCGTTTTAACTCATCATAATCCTCCATTTTCAATGATTCCACGTATGATGGAAAAGAGAATAGTTATTGGTTATGAGCAGCGAGTTTTGGATTTTTTAGCAAAGAGTGAGAAATTCCGTATATCGTACACATATGATCTTATACCTGATAGATTTGGATATGTACAACCTCCTAACTTTTCAGCGACAGATCTTTTAGAAGGAATCCAGAACAAAGAAGCAGACGTAGTTATGGGAGGCTTTCTTTTAATCACAAATACCATGTATTTATGTGATTATATTTGGACATATTTTGGATCTAACGAAAATTATCTCAAAGTTTTTTCATCGCATCCAGAGTATATTGGCAGATGGAGAATAATTTATGACAGCTTTGACAAACATATCTTCGTATTAATATTGGTTACTTTATTTATATTTATTTTGTTGTGCTTAGGCATAGTTACATTAGAAGGTGAGATAAATTATGTTGCAAAAGTTATTTTATACGTTTGGGGCTCAATATTTGGAATTATATCGCCGTATTTTAAAATCCTTATTCAAAAGAGACGATATTTATTATTATGGGTTGGGTTTGTATTTTTAATAAGTAACTTCTATCAAACATCATTAATAAGCTTGGCCACAAAGCCCAGTGTACGCCCTGGAATTGAAAGTGGTGACGAACTGCTGAAGTTAGGATATCAACCTTGTTTACCTAATTCCTCAAGGTGGCTATTTCGTCACTTCGAACTTTCTATTTTAAATGATGTTTTTCAACCAAAACCGGAGTGTATGGAATTAGAGAGCAGTTTAGTAGCATTAGCAACAATACCAAATTTATATACAATTAGTCATTACTTTAAGTATATGTATTTGGTTCAGGGCAAATATCGCTATCTTATTTATGAATCAAATTATAATTTTCAACGTGCAAGTCACGCTATATTTTTTGTCCGGGGTTTTCCACGTATTGATAGTATGAATTATAAAGTTTTGAGAATGAGTGAAAGTGGTCTATTTGTCGCAGCATTTCGTGATTTAGGTCTTGAGCCAGTGAAGTCCTTTTTTATGAAACAGAGAGCAAATGCGCGATCATTTTCGAGTCTAAAAATTGAAGACTTCTGGATTCCACATCTTATACTTGTGATTGGTACAGTTTTGGCCTTTATTGTTTTTATTGCTGAGAAATGCGTTTATTTAATTCATAATACAAGTCTAAGTTCATAAATTAGATAATTTTATGTCATGTGACACGATATTCTTTAACGTTAATCTCCGAAACAAATTAACCGATTTTAATGAAATTTTGTAAAGGTTTGTTTTTTATACAACTTAAGAGATAAATATAAAAATAATAATTTTACACACAATTTATTTATCCGTGATTACTATACTAGGCACACGAAATAGATCTGCGACTGTTTCGTATGAGTGGTTAATTAAATTAGTACATATTTATAGCCCTTTATGGTCCGGTTTTGTACAATTTTATTATTTAAGTACTCGAAAGGTTAATTTGGTTTACAAATAAAATAAAAAAAAATATATATATAATGAATAATTAAAAAATAATAAAGCAAGAAAAGATATATATAGAATAGTTTAGATAGAATAGTTTTATCTCGATAAGAAAAAATGGACCTGGTAGGAGGCAGTATTAGATGTTTACCAGATCAGCTAGATAATGTATAATTATAAAGCAATGATTATATATTTTGTTATATAATTATTGTTAGTGATATTGTAAAGTTCTTCAATTATATTAAACGTTAACAATGAATATGAATATTTATTAAAAAAATCTGGATTTAAGCGTCCAAATATATTTTATTAGAATTTTGATATTATATGTACAACCTCATAAAATACAAAATAGATTGTATTGTGCAGGGTTAAAATTAATATAAATATTAAATTAGTAAGGTAATTAAGGTAAAATTTATTTAAAGGTTAGGTAGTTTATCCACAGTACTACTCATATCACGGTTATCAAAATATGTATTATATATTATATTTAATAAAAAAATAATGATGAAGCAACAAGCTTGTATGTATTTCTTTTATTTAATCCTATTTCATAGATTCGGAGTTATCAAGTACTAATAAGGGATGTTAAAAGAAATAGTCGCATTTATAATATCTAGTGTCCTAACATAAATATATTTGATTATATGAATGTGTATCTTCTAAAACTGAAATTAATATTTTTAATTTTCAATATAATAAAACATTTTGTATTTAATACAAATATTAAATATTATTGGTGTGTCGCTATATTTAGTACATTATAATATATTTATTTAATGCAACAGCCTTCTTATTGTTAATAGTTTATTTTACATAATGTTATTCGGATGAAAGCTCGAAATTTAAATTCTTTATTCAAATAGACTTGTTTATAAGCACTTTTAAATCGTCATGTTTTTTTTTTTAATATACTGCAGGGTTTGGAAGATTGTTATTTGTTGAGAAAAGCCTGCAAGAAACTTAACAGATATTCTTTTAAATCTCTGTTAACATTATGTGTATTTTTTTTTAATGTAATATGTCTGAAATTACATGGTCATTAAAAAGTCCGTGCATGATCGACTAACACCATGTACGCTTGTCAGTTAAGTAATCATTTAGAGTGTAATAGACTTTGTTCAATAAGTGTTTATTAATAACAGTTTTAAATTTATTAAAAGGTAGATCTAAAATATTCCTCGGTATCTTATTATAACATGGAATGTCCATTCCTATAAAAGACCTATTAACTTTCTAAACGATACTTGGGAACAGCAAGTTTATATTTGTATCTAGCATTAAGATTATTCAGAATCTGTTTTTATGAAACAGTTGAAGATTCCTGCGTATATACAAAATGTTTGCGTATATGTACTGTGAAGTTACGATGACAATATTTGCTTCTTTAAATTTTTCTCTTAATGGTTCACGACTTCCCATAGAATAAATTGCGCGAACAGCACGTTTTTGTAATACAAATATGCTTTAGATGTCGGCTGCTTTACCCTATAGTAATATTCCGTAGGACAGTATACTATGAAAGTAATTTAAATAATCTGGCAGTCCCAATATTGTTATATTGTTTAACCCTGCGTACAGCATATGTCGCAAAACTTAATTTAGTTGCAAGGTTTTAAATGTGAGGACCCTATTGAGTTTTATTATCAAGACTGATGCCAAAGAACACAATAGAATCTATAAAATTAAGAAGTTCATTATTTAATTCAATTCAATACAGAAAAATAGGAATCGTGTCGTGATTTTTAGAAAGAAAAAATTTTAGGCATTTAGTTTTTTTTTTGCATTCAACATTAGATTATTATTTATTTGCAGTAAAGCATTATTTATATCGTCATAATACTTGGTCAATCTATCAACCATATAAATTAAAAAAAGTATTATCTGCAAACAATACTATGCCATATCTATCCTGCATGGCAAAAGTGAGATCATTTATATAAATCAAACATAGTGATGGCCCAAGAATAGATTCTTGAGGTACATCTATTCGCACAAGTGACCTGTTAGGTGTAACGCTATTTATGTACTTTAACTTGAATTCTGTTTGATAAACAAGACGTGATTAAGTTTAAAGCATTGTCTTTGACACAGTAAAAAGCCAATTTTTTCAACAATGTACTATGATCTGCATAATCGAAGACCTTAGATAGATCACAAAATCTATAATTTTTCATATACGAGTATAATATATATATATATATATATATATATATATATATATATAATACTCGTACATGAAAAATATATTAACAGAGCCATTTCTTTATCGGCTAATGAATTATTGAAGTAATCATAATATCATTTATCATTTTTTTTATTTATTTTATAATATTTACTCAATGTCTACTGATTTACCAATACATAATTAGGTACCATATAAAAACCCCAAGTATCTAGCAACCAAAAAACATTGAAGACTATTTGATAGAAAGCACTATTATGATTTGGATTATAATTCTTCTTGTTGTGCACACTATAAATATACATTCTACTTCAATAATGTATTTTCAAGAACATTCGGATGATAAACAATTTAAAACATGTATAGTTAACATTATTGTAACGCAATTGAAAAAAGGCAGTGAATTAACTGTGATAAGTAACGCTGAAGATTTATTACCTGATATTCATAATTCTAATCACGTTCAGTTAAAATTTCGCCATTCGAAAATACACGGTGAAAATTATTCTTATATAGAAGCATATTTAATTTTAGTTGACGATGTCGATGATTTGGATGATACAATAAATACACTAAAGCTAGAATGGAGTTGGAACCCTAAAGCTAAGTTCATAATAATATTAAAGTGTCAAGTAGACATTACACAATTGAGGGTTGTTTTTAAAATGATGCTAATTTCTCACATATTGAATATTTTGGTTGTTACTAGAATAGAAAGTAAATATTTAGTTTATACATATTTTCCTTATGGAGAAGGTAATTGTGGACGTAGTCACGAAAATATAACGAAATGTTGTGAATGTAATGAATTCAGAAACGGTTTTAATCTATTTCCTGATGAAAGATCAAGGACTTTAATAAATTGTACATTGCGCGTTCTTACTCACCACAATCCTCCATTCTCAATTATTCCACATACGATAAATAGAAGAATGGTTACTGGTTATGAACAAAGAGTCATGGATTTGTTAGCAGAGAGTGAGAAATTTCATATATCATATTTCTTTGATCTTCTACCTGATAGATTTGGATACATACAACTTCCTAACTTTTCAGCGACAGAGCTTTTGGAGTCAATACAGAATAATGAAGCGGATGTAGTTATAGGTGGTTTCCTTCTAATGAGAAATCCATTGTATTTGTGTGATTTTATTTCGACATATTTTGGTTCGAGTGATAATTATTTCAAATTTTTTTCTTCACAGAGAGATTATATGGGCAGATGGCGCATAATTTGTGATTGCTTTGACAAAAATATCTTGATTTTATTATTAGTTGCTTTATTTTTATTTATTTTTTTATCTTTAGCTATAACCTCAATAATACAAGGTGAGGTGGTAGTAAATTATGATAGTAAAGTTATTTTTTATATTGTCGGTTCAATGTTTGGAAACATATCACCATACTTTAGAAAACTTATTAAAAAGAAACAATATTTATTATTATGGATTGGATTTGTATTTTTAATGACAAATTTCTATCCGATTTCATTAATAAGTTTGGCAACAAAGCCCAGTGTACGCCCTGGAATTGAGGATAGCAAAGTATTAGTGAAATTAGGGTATCGACCTTGCTTGTCTAATGCTTCACGGTGGTTATTTCATGAATTTGAAATCCCAGTTATAAATAATGTATCTCAATCGTTACCGGAATGTATGGATTTAGAGAGTAGTTTGATGTCACTAGCAAAAATGCCGAAACTTTACACTATTAGTCTTTATTTAAAGTATATGTATTTGGTAAAAGACAAATATCGCTATCTTATTTATGAATCGAAAGAAAATTTTCATCGTGCGATTCACGCTATATTTTTCCCCCGAGGTTTTCCCCGTATTGACAATATGAAGTATAAAGTTTTGAGAATGAGTGAAAATGGTTTATTTGTTGCAGCATTTCGTGAGTTAGGTCTTGAGCCGGTAAAGTCTTTTTTCTTGAAACAGAAAGAAAATGAACGTACTTTTTCAAGTTTAAAAATGGAAGATTTCTTGATTCCGCATCTTATTATTGCGGTGGGTACAGCATTAGCTTTTATTATATTTATTGCAGAGAACGGTATTTATTTTATTAATACTACTTACACAAGATAATTTTTAAATAAGTATATTAAAGTAAAATATAGAATTTATTAGGTACTCATTGCTTATTTATCATTCACCTAGCGACCCGCCCCGGCTTTGTACGGGTGCAATACTGTTATTAAATATAGCTACCTACTACAGAATGTCCTTATAAACAACGTTTACAGCTTTTTCGTCATTAAACAATACAAACACGATAAAGTGCTATAGGATGAAGTGTGGCCTTCGACGCGCAATTATATAGGCGCGCGCCGCCGGCCGGGCTAGTACCGCCGCACCGCTATGTCCCTGCATTTTAAATCTGTAATATTTTCGGAAATATCCATTTAAATTACATGCTGTAAAGGGCCATATTGATCTATATTAAATGGACAATATATTTTAGGTGCTTAATTGGATAAAAATTAATTCTGTATTGCTTAAAATCACTTCGTAAATTTTTTCCCGTAAAATGTAAAGGATAAAAAATGGTTATTGTGGGTTATTCTTAAGAGATAGACATATACCATCGCGGACTTTTTTGTTGATGTGAAACGTAGAGTTCTTTATATTGTGATTCTAGGATACACCAGACATGATGCCCTTTGCATTTACTTCTATCCGTCTCATAGATCGTAACTTTCCTGAAATATGGGTTTTTTCTTTTTTTTTAAGTGCTGAAACTTTACTAATACAAAATGTTAATAAGCCATTAGCTATGTTTGTTTTAATCTATGGAGTATTGATAAAATATTGCAAACTTGGTAGTATAATTGAAACTATTGCACCGTCTTTTGCTTTTATTTTTAATAAGTGCATAGATGACGGTAAGTTTCCTATTGTAATGAAATTTAGTAAAATTATGCCGCTTTTTAAAGATGGAATTAATGTGATCTAGTAAATTATGGGCCTATTTTGATTTTTCCTGCACTGAGTAAAAATTTTGATAAATATATGTTGAATCAGTTTGGAATCAGTAGTCAATTTGGATTTTCTACAAGGTGATTAACTACGGATACAGATGTGGAGTTACTAAAACACATTTCTAAAAATTACGGTTTGAATTCTATTGTAAAATTAAATAGTTAACTTCTTAATTTTATAGATTTGCTATCTTCCGGAAAATACTCTTGATAATAAAATTCAATGGGATCCTCACATTCAAAACTTTGCAACTAAATTAAGCTCTGCGGCATATGCTGTACTGCAGGGTTAAACAGTATAATAATATTGAGACTGCTAGATTAGTTTGTTTTAGTGACTTTCATAGTATACTGTCTACTAGAATATTATAATGAGGTAAAGCAGCCGACAGCCAAAGCATATTTGTATTACAAAAACGTGCAATTCGCGCAATTTATTGTATAGAAAGTCGTGGAGCCCTAAGAGAAAAATTTAAAGAAGCAAATATTCTTACCGTAACTTGATAATACATATACGCAATTATTTTGTATATACACAGGAATCTTCATCTGTTTCTTAAAAACAGCGATCTCAATATTCTGAACACTAGATACAAATATAAACTTGCTGTTCCGGAGTATCGCTTAGAAAAAGTTTCTTATGGTCTTTTATATTGTAGACCGTATGAAACTTTTTCTAAGCTATTTTGGATCTATCTTTTTATAAATTTAAAGCTTATTACACTCTAAACGATTACTTGAATAACAAGCGTGCATTGTATTTGTTAGTCGATAATGTATGGACTTTTTAATGACCATGTAATTTTAGACATAATGCGTTTAAATAAATATATGTATATGAACTTATAATTTTAACAGAGATTTAAAAGAGTAACTGTTGAGTTTCTTGTAGGCTCTTCTCAACAGATAAAACCTTCCGAACCCTGCAGTAGATTAAAAAAAAATACAAGTGTTTGTGTTTACAAGCACTAGTCTATTTGATCAAAGATAATTTGAATTAATAATAATTTATTTCCAACTAGATTGCACGAGGAATCTCTGTATAAAAATAAATCTATTTCTTCGTTTTAGGTTTTAGAGATTTTGTGATTATCTAATAATTAACTGGCTTTGTATATGAATTAGATATTAGTTATATCTAGCTAATGAAATATAACTTATATGATAGTACTGTTTGTTTTATTTAATACGAGTTGAAATTATGTGAAATATAAAACTTTTTACTGAAGATTGAGAGGATATTGTTGTAAACATACAAGCAATTGATCTTGCAAAATTCTGCCATAGACATAAACTATCTTCAGTAAATGTGGTAAAAGCGAGTAAGTGAATAAAAATAATCGAAAGATGGTTGCAGCGTCATTTAGAATATGCATCAAGTTTCAAGTCTATTAAAATATTCACTCCAGATTTGTCTTTGAATTAGCGATTATATTTTATTCTACAAAAAGTGACTGCAAACAAACGCACCCTAATGTACGATGATAAATATCGTAGAAAATTTCAGAATTAAATAAAATTTTGTAGCAGTTTTATTGAGTATTAATGTTATGCCAAGAAAAAAATCATACATAATTTCCTTCTTTTAGAAGTTTTCTGTTAAAAATTGGAAGTGTACATAATGAATGTGAGTGGCAATAAGCACATTTATTAAAAACTACAAAAACTGTAGGTCTAGTTGGATAATAAATAGATGGTGGATTACTTAATACATTAAAAATGCAATAATATATTAAATCGTAGTACATTGGTTATATAAAGTGAAACCTACTAACGAGGTAATCTATTTCCCATTATTTTGATTTATTTGACGTTATTTACCACTCAGCGATTTGTTTACTAATAATTACGTTCTATATAAAAACCTTAAGTTGCCTCAGTATTAAGGAAATGTGAAAACTAATACAATACACTACAATGATCTGCTTTATGGTACTTTTTACAATGTATTTGACAATTATAGATTCTGTTTCGTTAGAGCACATTCAAGAAAATAACGAAGATAAAGAGTTAAAAACATGCATAATAAAGATAATTGTAACTCAATTAAGAAAAGGTATGAAACTAACTGTTATACGTAATGCCGAGGATTTATTGCCTGATATTCATCACTCTGGTCATGTTCAGATAAATTTTCGTTATCCAGAAATGCATGAAATACATTATTCCAACATAGAAGCATATTTGATTTCTGGGAACAGTATTAATGATTTGGAAATTATAATAAATACACTAAAATTAGAATGGAGTTGGAACCCTAAAGCTAAGTTCATAATAATACTGAGGTGTCAAGAGGATAATGAACAATTGAGAGCTATTTTTAAATTATTACTTAATTTTCATATTCTGAATATTTTGCTCGTTACTCAGTCCGAGAGTAAAAATTTAATTTATACGTATTTCCCTTATGGAGAAGGCAACTGCGGACGTAATCATGAAAATATAACAAAATGTTGTTATTGTAATGAACTCAGGAGCGATTTTAATATATTTCCTGATGACAGTACAAGAACTTTGAGAAACTGTACATTGCGCGTTTTCACTCACCACAATCCTCCATTTACAATGATTCCTCGTATGATAAAAAAAAGAAAGATTATTGGCTTCGAGCAGCGTGTTATGAATTTATTAGCAGAAAGTGAAAAATTTCATATATCATACACCTATGATATTTTACCTGATAGGTTTGGATATGTACAACTTCCTAACTTCTCAGCAACAGAACTGTTAGAAGTAATACAAAACAAAGAAGCAGATGTAGTGATGGGCGGTTATCTTTTGATCACAAATTCAATGTATCTATGTGATTTTATTTGGACATATTTTGGATCTAGTGATAATTATTTAAAATTTGTATCATCCCAGAGAGACTATATTGGTAGATGGCGGATAATTTATGACAGCTTTGACATAAAAACATTCATTTCATTACTAGTTGCTTTATTGTTATTTATTTTTTTGTCTTTAGCGTTAACTTCATCAATGGGAGGTGAAAAAAATTATCGTGGAAAAATTGTTTTGTATATTTGGGGCTCAATGTTTGGAATTATATCACCGTATTTTCAAAAACTTATTTTAAAGAAACGATATTTACTGTTATGGATTGTATTTATATTTTTAATAAGTAACTTCTATCAAACATCATTAATAAGTTTAGCAACAAAGCCAAGGGTACGTCCTGGAATTAATAACGCCGAAGAACTGTTGGAGTTGGGGTATAGACCTTGTGTGTCCAATTCCTCAAGGCGATTGTTAAATTATATTGAATTACCTCTTATTAATGATGAATATCAACCATTACCGGAGTGTATGGAATTAGAAAGCAGTATGTTGGCATTAGCAGAAAAGCCAAATTTATATAGTATTTCTTTTTACTTAAAGTATCTGTATTTCGTACAAGATAAATACCGTCATCTTATTTATGAATCAAATGGAAATTTTCAACGCGCAAGTCACGTTATATATTTTACAAGAGGTTTTCCTTGTATTGACAGTATGAATTACAAGGTTTTGAGAATGAGTGAAAATGGTTTATTTATCGCGGCTTTTCGAGAACTAGGACTTGAGCCAGTAAAGTCATTTTTCTTAAAACAAAAAAATAATGCACGCACTTTTTTAAGTTTAAAAATTGAAGATTTTTTTATTCCTCATCTAATAATTATAGTAGGCATAATTTTGGCTTCAATTGTTTTTATTGCAGAGATATGCACTTATTTCTACAATACCACTTTTCGAATATAATTTCACAATTGTTGTGAAATGTAACTTTACAATTAGGTAGTTATTCTAGTATATCTTTCTATAGTTAGAAAATGTTTAGAGTTAGTTTAGTAGTCCTACTAGTTTTTTTAGTAAAGGACTCAGTTATTGCTTTTGAAGACATCATTTTAAGTAAGTGTAACCAGAGGGAGCCTTTCTACAAAAGTTTGTTTGGGCATCTCTGTACCATTCGTGTTTTTACCGAAGGGTGGGACATGGCAGTATATTTACAGGGTATAAAGAAATGACACCTGAGTCCTTAGGAATGGCTACACATGGGGGCTATCATGGGCGAAACAGTATACTCTGTTACGTCCATGGTACTGCTTATGTCTATAGGCGACGGTTACTACTTTCCATCTGGTGGGCCGTCAGATTGTTTGCCAGTCTAAGTTGCATAAAAAAGTGTATTTATTTAAATATTGATATAGATTTATGTAGATCAATGTTTGGTAGAGTTCATATATTGATATGAAGTAAAAGTTATATAAAAAACTAAATTAAAAATGATGGAATCCGTTACATTTAGCTTTATCGAGTTAAATAAATATTCTACGATATATATAACTTGTTTTATTTACCTAATATAATATTTAAATCTAAATTGAAGCATTTTACTATTTATATACTCAGATGTTAAGTCATGGTAACGGTGAAAAACATTATTGTTTTTGTCAACCTTTTATTATTAATTTGCATTCTTTACATTTTTATCTATCGATATAAATATCCATAGTTATCTTTCCAATTTATTTATTTAATCATATGTTATTCCCTAATATGTGCGAACTGTTGGGGGAAAAGGGATTGTTAGTAATGAGATTTAACAGCCCCATTGCTAGCCCTTTCAGGTTGACCTCCACGCGGTTCTTTCCGAAAATCATAGTGGCTAATTCTTGTTTAGTTAATTACTATGGACCAACTGACTTGCCTACATCCTCACCTGTCATCCTTCACTGGTACCCAGCCAGCGTATACCGACATACGCTGGCGGGGTTACCATTGCATCTTCACCCATTAAAAAAAAATATTGAAGCTATTGAAGCGATAGTTGCGTATATAATTAGAATACGCTTTATATGTATTCTAAGTAATCTGAAGGGTATGGCAAACAGATTGTGTTAGGAATACAGTTTAAAAGTACGTTGGTCTGAAATTATGGATGTCAAATAAAAAATAATGAGATATCGGATATAGGTTAAGTATACTTAATACTTAACAATGGGAAAGTGAAAGAAAACATACATTGAGGAAGAAATAGATTAACCCAATAGAGATACTCTGTAATGTGTAAATAAGTATATCTTTGCATACTCTGTAAGGTAGCTAGCGTATCTAAAATAGGTAAATATTATTAGGATAAAACTTTATGAAAGAAATGTAAGAGATATTGTAATAAATGCTAGTATATAATAATATGTAGTATGTAATTATAGTTTGTGACGTTATCACACATTGATATTTATTAAAGCAATGTAGGTAAAATTTAGCAAAGATGGACAGTCTGGTATCAAGGATAGGCCTAGGATAATAGGCATTTTTAAAAGAAGATAAAAATTTCTAGATCACTATGTTAGGTGTACAGGTTACGATAAAAGATACAGAAGTTATCAATTTTACAATGTTTTTTTTGTATATGTTATGCTATATTTTTACCGATTTTGCACTAATTTTATAATTCATAGGGTATACATTTTTATATTGCTCTCCAAATTTTGTGATAATTAAAATATCTTCTCTTCTTATTTGTTTAAATTTGTAGCAGATGTCGAGCCTCTAACGCCTGATTTAAGTCGCAAATTTTATATTGTACTCGGTATTTTTTTAAATTTCTGACTATGACTGTAGGTAATTTTAAAATATTGCTAACTTTTGTTCAATACAAATAAAATCTATCAATATAAATAAAAATAATTGTCGGACAATTGTATCATGAAGTAGATCACGCCAGTATGGCTATTTACCTATTTAGTTACATCTTTTCCGTTGTGTTTGTAAATTATCAGGACAAGTTTGAAAAAAATGTTTTAAAAAATGTACGGAAAAGTTAAAAATTTGGGTTAAAAGTTTTCTATATGAAGTGTTGGGAAGATTTGGTGAAATTTTTTCATTAGTAGGTATACGCGTGAGAAGCAGGGGCAGACGGCTAATAGTATACATTTCTAGCTAATAGAACACATTTTAGTACAATATTTTCTTAGCGTGTTAATATAGTCGCTGATTAAATATAAAAAAAAAATAAGTTCTCTGTCAGATTAATTAATTAGATTTATCTGCAATTGAAAAAAGTTTGAATTATCGTAATTTAATTATACGAATTTACTTGGTAATTATAAATTTAGATAATTATTCAGTTATTTTTTTTGCAGCCTTCGGCATCGGATCCATGATATACTCCGGTTTGGAATTTGGTCAATATTGGGAACTGGAGCGGGACACCAACTGCCATAACGTGCTGCTTGCATTAACACCCGCAACCAGAATGGCCTTCATCTTTATACAGATGTATTTCATCTTTCTTAATAATGAGGTTAGTACTAATTTTTAGTAAAACAAAGTATTTTATTCTTTAATTCTTTTTCTTATTTGAATTCGTTATTAAGCCATAATCTTCTAACCTTGTGCCAGTGAGTTAATGCTTCCGTAGATTGTTTATTTTTTTATTTCCTTATAAATGTATATAATTTTATTTTACTATTAGTATATATAAGCTTCTATTATGTTTTATTTTGTCATCATCATTATTACCGAAAAAAAGTCATTATTGTAATTAAAAATACGAGTATTAAGGCTAGTTTTGTGTCCGTGAAGTGTTAATAACATCGTCGAGTCTGTTCTGTGACATTAATCGGATTTTTTTCTATATGACACCGTATTACCGAAGACTAGATATCAGTGATTCCAGTTGAACTTTTATATACATATTTCATACATGCATTGCTGTTTTGTATCTGAAATAGGTACAACATAAGTACCAGGTCCCACATAATGACTATTTGTATATTATTGACGTGAATTTAGTTTATTAAAGTGATACTTCTTTTACTTCTCTCAGTGTAATATATCAATTTTATCATATATTTCGAATTATAGTGTATCCTTTGAAAAATTCGTTGTGATTAGACGAGACAATTGTAATTTTTTATTTGAATACTAAAATGGTGTTTTTGGCATATTGTTCCAGATGAAAGTATACAAACACAAAATCGTGGCTCGATTTGGTCTGATGCATATGGTGGGCACTAACTTAAGCGTATGGCTGAACGTACTGGTTCAGGAGACCAAGCACGAGATTCTTACATTCTACAATCCGGAGAATAAAACTATTGGCTTATCGCATAGACTAGGTAAGCGAAAACTTAATTGCACACATTTATAAATTGTTATTATTGCGTCGTCTATACCTATATATTTTATTATTATTTTGCGGAAATCCATATCACTAGTAAGTTGATTAGAGTTATTTTGTTTAATTACGTTACCATTATTATTATGCATGCATGCGTGCAACTACCAACATTTAAGTATTGATTACTATTATTATTAATAATAATAATCTACTAATAATAGAATAGGCCACACCTTCTTTTCCCATTGATGTTGTAAAAGTCAGAGGGCGAAGTATGCGCAGTAGTATCACTCTTAAAACATCTCTACAAGCCTAACTACGGTTGCTAACCCGCCTGCCAAGTATGGCAACTATTGGTAAAACTCCGTTTATGGATAAAGCTTATTAATTAAACCTTAAGGCTCGGGCATTAATAGTGGCCAGTTAATGGCTGAAATAATAAAAACAATACAATTATTAATAAAAATTCTACGATCTTCCCTATTAGTCACCAATCTCTAACCATTATTCATTCTACGCACATGTAGCGGAATTAAATATTTATTATATATACAAATAAAACAGGGGCTCTAAGTAACAGTAATGGGTTGGTACTTCGGTATTATAATAGATGGATATATTGTTTAACAGATTTATATGTGCATTTTGTGAACTTGTATGAGGAAGAATAATTATATTATCCCTTCGAGGGTCGTTCCCATTTTGTCGGACTATTTTATATTTATACCTTTAAGGAGTCTTTCCCTCTTTTGTACACATTAAAAGCAAGATTTAAGTTCCTAGTTCGTACAATTTGTTGGTTTAATGGTATTGATATTAAAAAAGGTATAAGGCGGGAATTCTTCATGTATTGAGATTTGAGACTTAGTGTATGTATATAGGTAGGTACGGTCCGCATTAAAAGTTACTTAAAAGGCTTTTTTGTGGGTACTAATGTACGCAACCGTTATCGCTGAACCGGTTCTGGAATCTGTTGATATTAATTAACTTTTCACGCTGACCGTGCTCTCTCCATTTTTTCCAAAGTCGGAATATGAATTTAATCTCTTTACAATCTTCTTCTCAATTCGCCTTTTTTTTGTTTATTGTCACGGGATATAATTACGGCAATTCTAAATTAGTTTTGACAATTATTTTTTAAATTAAAAGAGAAAAATTATATAATATTTACTGTGACAATGGTTTTTGTATTTACTATTATTGGAGGAAATTGTAAACTCATTAATTTGGCGGTCGACAGTACATTAACGTTCCTTAAATTAAAGCTACCCTTGTCATAGCTTCATTGGAGATTCCATAAAGTTATGTCAAGTGCATTCCAATCGACATAACTTCGAAAATTGCTTCCGGTATTTTGATCCAAATTTTCAATATTAGAAATAGCAGTAGTCTATTGAAAAATGTAACGTATAAAACATTTTTGTGTATAAACGTAAAAATATGTTTCAGTACTTTAACTAGCATTTGTTGTCGTTTCAGCTTTTCAAAAGGCCTTCGCATCTTTAGCAACGGAAGTTCCACCGTCGCATCCAGCTGCGGCTCATTTACGAGTGCCGAGGGGGCTGAAGGGCCCGCATCATATCTTCGAATGTCGTCGAACCAATATCATGGGGTCGCTGGTACAGGATGCATCGCCATTCCTTTTCCCATGCACAATCGAGTACTCTCTAATATGCGCAGCCATATTATATGTTATGTGGAAGAATATATCTAAATATCCATCTAAGGATGTCGCCGCTGCTATAGCCAAAGCGAGAATATTGGAAGGACTTGCGTATAAAAAGTCACCACATTTATATAGCGTTGACTGTGCCCGTGCGCATAAAGGTTTATTTTTTGGTATTCTAGTCTTAGTTCTTACTATAATATCGCTAATATTATTCTTCGTTCTAGTATCTAAAAAAGAATATGCAACATTGGCGGTTGTTGAAGTAAATTTGTGCGAGTTGGGGTTATATGCGATGACGACATTTGCTAGTCTCGCGGGGATGGTTTGTGTCCGAAATCTTAAATATGATGGTAATCGTAATCTTGAATTAGATAACATACTTTTAGTGGGCGCTCAAACTGGCATGTTTATTTATGGTACATTTACTATTATCGGAGGACATTTTACTATAGAGAAGAATACGATTCTTATTCTGATTACTGCACTGTCGTCTTTGATACAAACAACATGCCAGACGATGTTTATATTGGATGCAAGTCGAAGATCAGCAAAAACTCCTGAACAATTGCGAAAGAAACCCGGAAGAGAAATAGTGACGTTCCTTTTAGTTACTAATCTAGCGATGTGGGCTATCAATACTCTAGAAAAATCACGAGCAGAATCTCACCCGGTTCAGCTACATTTCTATGGTTTGTGGGCATGGACTATTATTACTCATGTTTCAATGCCTTTAGCAATTTTCTACAGATTCCATTCGACGGTGTGTTTGTGCGAGATTTGGAAACGGGCCTACAAGATGAAGCCTGCTTACATGTAGCGATGGGCGCGAAGGTACTAGAGTGCAATGCGACAAAACACGAACTATGGTACATTTGTAATAAAAATGTAGAACAGTGGCGTAGTTACGTGTTAGTGCCATAGATTCAAATAAGGGGGCAACATTAATATTAAATTTGAGAACGCTGAATAAGTTAAAATAAAGATTTTCATTCAGTGTTGTCAAATTTGATTTTAGCGGTTTAGACGTTGTTTGCCGGTAAGGAATGTACGTAGACCGAGTAAAATCGATAACTAGTTTGTCTACATTATAATCATTATACTCGAGATCTTAGGTTGTTACACATATTCCTTTAATCGGCATTCACATAGTTATGACCCTGTATTAGTTTTGAAGTCGACTGCTTTAATGTTAAGTTATTGTATTAAAATATTTTAATGTGTTATTTATTTGTAGCTTTATTGAATGCTTTAACAATCATAATGGTAACTACTGTTATGTTATAATGCTATTTAAACCACAGTATTTCTTCATTGAACGGGTTGGATTTTATTGATTTTAGCGCTTAATATTTACATGTTACTTTTCTTAAATTGTAGTGTTATTGTTAATATACATGTAAATGAAGTTATTGTGTTCATATTATCATTCTATTTAAGTACACTTAGTTAAGAATAGATATATAGAAGCAAAATCGGCAAAAACATTCCAATTTATGTTAATCCACATCAAACATTCACGCACTCGTATTGAAAATAAATGTCTTCCATTAGGTTACACATTTATGTTACAGTAATTGTATCACATTGAATAAACAGTCACCTTTCATATTACTTTTGATATAACGCCATTATTTTAATATTTACAACGGGAACAATAATCGACCTAATAATATGTTTTTGAAGAGTTTTTGAGCATCAAGCTTTGATAAAGTGGCTACAATAAAATATTAAAATAATTTTACTATGAAATGAAACATAGTCTGAACAGAGTTTAGAGATTTTGTAGCAATATTTTTACGATAAAAATGTAGCGTTACAGTATTTTGGATAAAATTTTTAAACTGTAGTAATACTTGCCGAGGACCCAGTAGTTAGACAAAAATAACACCAAAGTTTTATACGAGTAGATTTTTGGAGCTTATTATGGAATAGATTTCTATTAATATGAATATTCTTTTATAAAATGGTAGTTATTTGATTGAAACACCAAAATCTACATATTTTGAAACAACAATTGATAGACTTAGCTATTTCGTCCAGTACATAGTTTTTATTGATTGCATGTATTTTGAAAGTCGACTACTGCGAGATGTAACCTACATTTAGATTTGTGGTATTCAATTAGTAAATATTACGTAAATTTATGTATATTCATTCTGCAAATTTTTTTATGAAACTAAAATTGTGTACTGGCTTTTCAATAATGAAAATTATTTAGTATTTAGAAACAAGAGATACAGTACTATGGGTATCTCAGTATTATCTGTACCTATTGCCTATAGCACTAATGGAAACCACCACGTTTCAGTGGCCAGTATGTTTGTTATTTTCAGTCATATAAGATTTTTAATTACCTTTATTTTATTCAATTTTCACATAGAATGAACTATCTGTATTCAATACCATTTTTCATTTTATAATATGGTATATTAAATAAAATTATAATTATATAACAAGTTTCATACTGTTTTTTTTTATACTACTATTGCTCAAATTAAATTCTTTTAGAATACGGCTATATGTAATTTTTCCACACTATCAAAATTATTAAATGATAAATTCTAATTTTCCAATAGTTCGTTGTTTAACATACAGTTTCATAGCATTCCTACATATGTATCAGTTTACATTGTTCTGTATATAGTTCTAGATATAGTTAAAAGATGATATAGAATTGTGCTATAATTATTCCTATTTTGCTTATTTATACCTCAGTTTCTGGATCAGGTTTCAGAAAACGAAATGTTTTTGTATGCTTTAAATTATTCATTAAATAAAGTTATATATATAATTAGTGATAGTCCTTTATACATTTTTATTAAAGTTATAAAATCCCATTACTAAATATACATTTTATTATACTATACCTATCGAAGTATAAGTTGATATTAAATACTCATATTGACATACACAATGTAACTTTGACAAAGTGACTTTGTGCTAATTTTAAGTAACGAAACGTACGTAATGTAAACTTTGGTATGTGCTGACTTCATATTATTGATTTGTGAATACTTTAAGGAAAACAGTTTTGAAATGCCTATCTACACTCTTTAATGGGCGTTCTCGATTGTATTCTTCCACAGCTTTTATTACATTTTATGACCGGACCGGTTTCACCATACTATTGCAATATGTGGAATGTGGAAGATGTTCTCTGGACTATAATAACGATATATTTATAAATACCACAAAATACCTGCGAATATAAATCATTATCGACATGCGAATCATCGCATTGTATTGATTCTGTTTTTCTAAAATAATGTTAACTTTGTATTAATTGTTGTTCATGTGTCCGCCATATTTATTCTATATATCTACCCATGTAAAAAGTGTTGCCAACTTTTAAGATTAGATTTTAATTAATGCCACCAGTTTCAGTTTACCGGGCTAACCCGCGCAAAATAATGATAATGACTGTTTAATATGTTAATCCAGTATGTGATTCGTCTTTATATAAAATTTTCTTCAAATCCATTATTCCACAGTTGTTGCTTTGTTAAAGCGGGATTGAGCAACAAACATCCAAACATATAAGCTTTCACATTTATAATATTACTAGGATTCAACAGACACATAGCTGATTTAATTTCGACTGTTCCTTTATATTCGTGCTTCTCATAGATGTTCAAAGAATATAATAATGTACTCGTACCTAGTGTCTTTTACATATAATAAAATAACTTCACATTGTGATTCAATATGGGATTGTTAATCATAATTATAACTAACTACATATATTTCCAAACTTATGAAATATTTACTATTCATAATAAGATGGATAACACTTTTGATATTGAAACACTTTATACACTGCGTTTTATAGTGTTTTATAGATAAGTGTGATACATAGCTACAAGCTAAAGCTATGAGGTATTTTACGAGTGAAAATGAATATTTTTCTTAAAAAAGCACTGGTTGTAAAATGGCAATTTCTGACTATCCCACATTAATAAGGTGCGTTGAGTATCACCAGAAAGGAAGTTAAAGCTTTCATATTGACCTGTACGAGTATCAATTGTATTGATATATGAATAATATTTTTTCGCCAAAAAATTTTACCTACAGATAAAATACATACTATGTATGTAATAACACACATACATATTTTCTATTATTAACATGTACAGATTTGTTCAACATTAACGATTTAATATTATTGATCTAAGAAAACTCCGCTTTTTGTGAAAATACGGTAATATGTATGATAAATGGTAAAACGGATATGTATTGATAGAGTTCCGTAGCTTATGTTTATTAAAAGTGTAAAAAATGATATTTGATAACAATGAATGTAACCTTGATGTATCCTTTTTTCAATAAAAGATTTGAAGTAAGTTATAATTTTGATATATAGAATAGCTAAAAATGTAACGATATGGTTATTTTTAGCCAGATAATCAGATATAAGAAGATATTATGAAAAATTAATTGTTTATCGAATTGTCTACGGAACTCTAAGTCAAAGAGTGACCTCTCTAGTGTTGAATGTGTTGTAAGACATAGAATAGTAAAAAAAAAATCATTTTTCCTACACAATAATTACTATTTATTGTACACCCGATAATACCAAATATTTGTTAAATAATTACTTTATAACAATTTAATATTCGAATAAGGTTTAGTTTTGTAAAATAATAGTGATATTAGAGTAACGTTTTTTAAACTATATATATTTGTGAACTATTTATTTGTTTAGGGTGAGACTGTGGATAGTTCTAAGATCGTCTTCTTGGATGTTTAAAGTTAACGAGCAAATAAACTTTCTTGAAATCGTAACAAATAATTTTTCATTTTCAATTATATTGAATTATATAATTAAATTGTACCTGTAGTTTATTATTTTGTCTAGCAAGACTGGAGAGCGTAAATTTGAATTCATATCGGTTTGACTTTGTATACTAGCTGATACATATAATTTAGGTTATTTGTGGTGTTAATTAAGAGCTAGCTGTATTCCGTGGCTTAGCCTGCGTGTCTGTATAAAGTATTTTATATTCTAAACTATCTGTGTATCAAATTTTATTCAAATCCATTTAAGTGTTTTGTGAGAAAGAGTAACAAACATCTATACATCCGCACAAATTTATACGTTTACAAATAGCAGAACATATGTTACTTACTTTGAAGAAGAAAGAAATATTTTTATTCAAGTAAACTTAGATTTAAGCATTTTTGAATAGTTATTTTTCATTCGGAACCCAATTTCAGGCAAGAAATTCAGCTGTTGCTTTTTTCAAAAAGTTTATTTATATAAATAATTAATTTGCGTGAATATAAACTACCAAGCAGTATCAGGTTATACAATTTAAAATGTATAGTATATAAATAAAACAAATCAATGAAATTAATCATTAAATTGGATTTGAATAAAAAATTAAGAATGACATACTTACGAGTACTGGTATATATCTAAATGCGGCGGTAATGGCTACAAAATACCTCTAATAAGTCCTTTTATAAAAACTAAGTACTTACCTTAAGTCGTGGTTACCTAAACGTATTTATACAAAACGTAATTATACCTATTTATCGTGAAATGAACAAACACAAAATTTGTCTGTCTTCGCGAATTAACATACTTACCTTAGATTCAATTATAATTGGATTCGTGCTAAAATGGGTTAATCAATTTATAACATCAATAAGATATTAAAAGACCCACAAATTGAATCTAAAAGATCAAATAATAAATGTAACTACATCTCTCATAAATAGGTAATAAATAAGAAGAAAATAAACTAATGTAAAAAATTGATTGATTGAAGTAAAAAAGAAGTTAATTATAACACAAATCTTTTTCATTCGTAGGCTGTTCTAAGAGATATAATAATATACATATTTCAATGGAACTTAAACAAAAGATTGCAATTTTTGTTGAAATTATCTACATTTACATCTATAGAAATATTTTGTAAATTAAATTAGTAACAAATCGAAATATTTAATCTATTATAAATTTTTATTTTGTACTACTACTGGACATTCTCAAACTGTCTTATGGTTGTATAAAATATTCGTTTGTTTATATTTTGAGTAGTATTGAAATGGACTATATAGAAGAAATTCAAAATGCCCAAGCCACTAGGCTTGTAGTGAGCATTCTATTATTAGCTAACAGCAGCTAAGGCTAATATTTTATTTATACTTTTGCCCAACAGTGGACATTAATATTGTGTTATCATGATTGTGATATGAAAAGAGTTAAATGCTTTTTACTCTTTAGTTATCTAAAATTAAGTAAGTATTATAACTTACCTGCATTTAATTAAACAATTAACAAAACTACCTAAGTAGGAAATGTTATAGACTTACTTTAGACTTGCTATTTATAACATTTTCAACTAACTTTAAAAAGAAGAAGGTTCTCAATTTGATCGTTTGTTTTTTAATTGTGTGTTACTTCATAACTCCGTTAGTTTTAAACTGATTTGTAAAATTCTTTTATTTGAAAGGATATACTTACAGATTGGACCCATTGAAATTTTATCAAAATCTGTTCAGAAGTAATAGCAGTCGTTGTTTTATTTTTTAAATTAAAATATCTGAAGGCCTACCATGAAATGTTTTCCGAAATTTCATAGCTGAACAAAACACAAATTTGATGTTAAAATTACATAATACTTACCATTTAAAAACATTAAAAATATCGAAATATTATTCCTTTGGACTTTTATGGTAGGATTTATGACGAACGAAATATTGAACTCCCATTTTCTGGGCCGATTTAGGTATGATCGAAAACACGAAATTGAGTCCAAATCTTCGGAATTTCATTTCATGGTAGACACCCTGTTTGTTTCGTTTTTTTTTTTCAAACAATTCTATGATATAAAGTTACATTAGAATGTATTGATTAAAACATGATATAATCTCTAATTTCTTTTCATGAGCTTTACTTACATCTATTTGATTTGATTACAGTATGCATGTCACTGTGTTCGTGACTGCAGAGGTTATTTTTAAAGCGTTTAAAATAGTATCTTGTATATTTACATTGCCCGAAATTGATCTAGGTGGATACCTACCTAGCCGATGCAACGGCAGACTTGCCGGCCAAGTTCATTGTCCGCTGTGTAGGTGTTTTTGTGTTCGATAACAGGTTGTTTTGTAATTCCAGTTTTTGATTTAGTGTAGTAAATTGATGTCTAAAGATTTATTTCTATATTATTTCTTTTTGTAAATATTCATTGATTTATTTATTTTATGCTTAATTTCACCCAGTAAAAAAAAATAACAATTACAGTAAATAATAATGAGATACGATACAAAAGGCGGCCTTATCACTAAGCAATCTCTTCCAGACAGTCTTTTAGGGTATTGAGGGTATTGAGAAAAAGACAAAGGGTAGGTGGCGCACTATTATATAGATACTAATGTATACAAACATACATTTATAAAAAACGTACATATATAAACATACACATATTTAATAGTACTCTTACAACAGGAGAGAATAACGGAGGAAAATGAAGAGAGAACACAGGAAAATAGTAGTAAAGGGAGAGGTAGTAGGATTTAACAGAGGTTATATATATTGAAAAATATATTGAAAACAATATTCTATTACACGTGAGTAGGCAGATGAAACTTAAAAACATAATGATATTATAGTGTAGGGAACGACCAGTAGTCTAACGTATTTAGCATGTCTTTTTTTTATACAACTTAGAATGGCAAACAAGCTGACGACCCACCTGATGGAAAGTTGTAACCATCGCCTATAGACATGAGCAGTACCATGGGCATAACAGAGTATACTGATTCGTCCATGATACCCCCCATACGTTGCCATTCCTGAGGACTTAGGTGTTATTCCTCTGTACCCAGTAAATTCACGCCATATCCCACCCTTCAAACCGAAACACAGCCATGCAAACACAACTGCTTTACGGTTGAAACATGAATAAGACAAAGGTATGTCCTGAATATTTCCAATATTTCTGGTGATACCTATGTCGGTATTCTATGGTGTCGGTATATAAATAACAATAGGCCTGCTACGTTATACACTAAACCGAGTGAGAGAGAACATAAAAGTCTCCAGAATCAGTGTGCACGAATAAGATGAATTTTAAAAGTGCATGAAGTAAGAAATGTATAATACCAGGATAGAAATCTTTGGCACTCGATTCTGTCTACCCCGCTAGGAACTTGGCGTTCAGATGGAAAGTTACTCTTCACTATACCGCTATATACAGGAGGATGAAAATTTTCTTGCTACAATTTGTCACATCGAGATGTTTGTTAATTTTTGGAAACTTTTACAATCATAACAAATTCTATTAGTAGGGTATGAATGCAAGAGCAGAGTGCGTAGGTGGTCTTATGAAAGCCCGCCTACGTTTGATCAGACTGATACCATTCCACATGCGAGCAATGTCATTAGATATTTTTTTAGTAGGCGATACCTACTCATATTATAGTATACGAGTATAGCTATTGATATTATAAATACCTATTATGTTTGAATTTAAACAGAAAAATAAGACATTGCGACATTTCTTCGTTCAAATGCTAGAGACATGTGATAAGCGAGTTTTTAATTTACAGAAGATTGTAGCAACATACATAATTTAATTTTTTTTAATGGGTGAAAATGGAATGGTGATCCCGTCCGCGCTATCCGTATATACCGACGAGGCACTGGTGGAAGAATGATAGGTGAGAAAGAATGCAGGTTAATTGACACACATGACATTAATTCGACAAGAATTAACCATAATGATTTTCAGGGGGAACCGCGTGGAGATCGACCTGAGAGGGTATATTGCTAGCAATGGGGCTATTAGACCTCATTACTAACAATCACTTTTTCGTCCATAAGTTGATATTAGGGTTTTTTATCTGTGTTGAAGTTTACTGGGTTACTATAGACTGTTATAGAAATCTAGGTAAAAAATTACTATGTTGGTTAACATGTATAAGGTATCACCACTCGAGAGTAGTCTCTCATGTATTTGTCAAATATTACGTACATTTTTTACTCGTATAAATTTATGCGCATATATTTTTTATAATTATCAATAAAAGTAATAAAAAGATGCTGTGATTAAATAGACACAAATGTTTTATTTTATTCAGATAAATAGAAAGTCATGTGTTTGTGTCTGGGAACCTGCTTGATAGAATACATTTTGAACATCTGGTTTGATACGAGTGTGTATGAATTATAAATTTGTCTGTATACAGTCTAAACGGTTGAAGTCCTGTCTATACTTACATAGTAAAAATAAATTTTATGGAATTAACACATCATATTATCTTACTAATATGATAAAGTTGTAAGTAGACGTAGACTTTAGATGAGAAATATTTAAGAAAAATTAATACGATGAGTGTCTATAAGAGCAATAGAAATCATAACAATAATTTTTAGAATATTTGTCTGTCTGTTCATTTGTCTGTCTTTTTTTTATACAACTTCAGCAAATAAGCTGACGGCCCACCTGATGTAAAGTGGTAACCCTCGCCTATAGACATGAGCATACTGCTCATGTCTATAGGCAAATTCAAATTCAAATTCAAAAATCATTTATTCATGTAGGACATTTTAGCCGCTTATGAACGTCAAATTTTTATATTATAATTTTATATTTACCCTACCGTCCAGTTCGGTATATAGATCCAATTGAGAAGAACTGGCAAGAAACTCAATTGAATTACTTTTTTTTTAAAGCCAGTTTATTTACAATGTATATTTATATAGGTGTCTATGTCTAACATTAAATGAAAATTCAGTGCATGAACAACTATTGCCATGCACACTCGTCATTCAAGTAATCGTTTAGTGAGTAA